CCTCCCGATCCGACACACTGGTCGAGGCTCTGCTTGGCCTGACAATCTGAAAAAATGAGACCAAAATTTAGATTACGGGATAAGTTCTTGTTCAGCGTATCAGCTTAACATGACTCTCAACTGAAGAACCCTGTAATATCCTCAATGCAACCAAACAAGCTTTAGTTTGACTTCACTTTTAAATTTAGTATGCACAAAAAGTAGATAATTTTGAGAGGAATTTAAATTCCAGGTACCAGCATGACTGAGGCAGAGAATTCTTGGCGATGCCGTCCGCCAGTTCTCGCACCAGTTCTTCGAGGGGCAGAATAGAAGCACAGAGTGGGCCTCTCTCACAGTCTCATAGCACAGGCTCACTATGTGGTCATCGTCACCCTTTATGACCACCATACATACACAGTTATATTACTGGTCTTGAGAGAGTAGGAATCACTCCGCACACTGGCTAACATCTACACTCAGTTACCTTAATGTGCAGAGCAGGAGTGAACTGCCGCACCACAGAGAGGCTCTTGTCGTAGATGTTGCAGCCCACCTTGAGATGCTCCTGCAGGGGTACAGGTCTGTAGTCTGTCTGGTAAAGCTCTGCGCCTAGCCAGCTAGCCAGGAGGGAGAGGTTAGGCAAGGTGGCGCTCATACCTATGATCTGTACACCCCTCAGAGAGAGACCTGTAGAATGAGTTTTACAGATTTGTAGATGTAGGAGAGCAACAGGATTTTTAACAGTGTAGCTGTTCACACTAACGGATACAACCCAGTGGTATTCTGCTTCTGTGCAATGTAGGGATTTTGGTAAGAGCAGTTCTAGTAGGTATCCTCTTCCAGAATCTCCAACCATATGCAACTCATCCACACAACCATACCTAATGTACAAATATACACACAAATTCAAATGCATACTGTATGTTTTTAGACTCAAGGAATGAACTTTATCCTTGGTATATTTACCTAGTAGACCCATACAGTCCTCTTCAATTAGTCTGTTAATGAGGGAGTTGGCTTTTTCTATCGTGCAAACAGCCACAGCTAGCTGCTGTGAACCCTCCAGCAGCTGAAGTGCTGCCCATATATCCCTCACACGAACTCCTGCCTCTTCAAATACCCTACAAAAGGCCAGATATATAGGTCTGTTAGATGGAGATACTGTAGATATACTCCCACATTCACACAACACAATGTAAGTAACAACATGCATGTCGTTTTTCCCTGTCCACCTCTCCTCACCTGAAGGTAATGCATCTTCTCTTTCGCCACAGAGACAAATGGCAGAATGAAGAGAGCTTTTCTTTTAGTCTCCAACACTCGCTTCAACATCAGCAGCTCTGACCAGAGTTTTTCCAGCACTGGTCGGAGCTGAAAAGGACAGAATTGAAAGCAGATGCTGACCTAACAGTGACTGACTCCTTGATCACTTTGTAGAGAGTAAAGATGGAAGCGCTCCGAGGCAAATTTATGTTATCGGGCTATATAAATAAACTTAAATTAACTTGACTAGAGAGTGTTTCTTACCAGAGTACACCAGGTTACCTCCCTGCAGCACCTGTCCCCAGTGAGGCACTGAGCCTGCCATTCGAACATGTGAGTCACTCCGTGTTTCTGGTAGCGCTCCAGTACAGGTTTTGGTAGCCCCAACTGGTAGCAGCAGCTTTTCAGCTTGCCCCGCGGGAGCACCAAGGCAATGCCTACAGTAGAGCACAAATAAAGAACTCCTTTTACACTTCAAACTGGTGTGGTGGCAGGGTACATAAACTAATGTCAGATATAAATGTTATTTAGTTTAACGATACAATCTGGACATAGCTGCAAAGATATAGTGCAAGGCTATAGTGGGTAACTGCCCCAGGACCCCAAAAGCTCCAGGTTTTACAGCAAGTTCACTGGTCTGTGCCACTGCCTTTTATTAGATTAAATGAAGCTATTTATTCATGTCTTGCATTGCAATATTTTATCTAATTTAATAAAATTGAATTTCTGTTTTATTCTAGTCTTTAATCCATTAATTTTTATGCAAAGCACTTTGAATTGCCTTGTTGTTAAAGGTACTATGCAAATAAACTTCTGCATTTCTTTGAGATAATTAAATTGAAATCTGGTTTGGAAAAACACTAAACACAGTATGAACTGACATGATGAACCTAGAAGTGGGTCTAGGGGCGGCTGTGGTTCAGGAGGTAGAGCGGGTGGCTGTTAATCGAAGGTCGGCGGTTCGACCTGGCTCCCCCTGGTTGCGTGTCGAAGTGTCCTGCAAGATACTGAACCCCGATTTGCCCCTGGCGGCTATTCCGCCAGTGTATGAGTGAGTGTGATGTTAGTTTTCCGTTTGAGCACTTAGGCTCAGTGTATGAATGTGTGTGACTGGTGAATGCAGATGTAGTGTAAAAGCGCTTTGAGTGGTCGAAAAGACTAGAAAGGCGCTATACAAGTACGGAGCATTTACATCTTTCTTTGTTACCTGACCTTGAACTCCTGTCCTGAAGAGGGTCCTTGTATTAAATCAAATTTTAAGACCTTCATTATTTCCATTTTGCACAAAGTTTAACCACAGTATTTCTACACGAAAATAGTGTTCCAGTGTAGAAAAACTGCATGCAGAGCACGAAGTGGGATGAAAGGGCCAGTTAATAGGGCCCCAGCTGCTAGTTTTGCCCCATGACACTCTGGCAGGTTAATCCAGCAATAACTAGTGTGAAAGGCGTCATAACACAGAAAAACAATGTTAGAAAATATTTGCCACAACTTCAATTATTTCACCTGGCTAGGTAAAGTGTCACTCAGAGTACTGAGGTCTAAGCCGCTGGGGACTGTGAGCACAGAAGCGGACTGATTCTGTAGTGACTGCTGCAGTTTGGCCTTCTTCGTGGCCGCTGCGAGGCGGGAGGGGCTGAACAAGATGTAGTCCCTGGATACATCCAGAGGTGGATAAGCATTCATATTTTGCCCACTTTTGTCATCACTACGAGGGCAGCTCTGTCTTCCGGATGCAAGTTTCTGCCTACTGAAACATACAAAGTAAAAAAAATTGTTAACAGACAAGTACAGATGCAGATAGTAGAAACAATAGTCAAACTGGGCTGTAAAGTGTAGGTTAAGACTCACTCGGTGGTGCCACCTAGTTGCTGACGTTTTTTTATTTCTTGACTGGATAGCCCATTGATGCAGGCAGAGGCATGCAATGACTGGATGTTTCCGGCACCCCTCTGAGCATGCTCCGCTTCCTCCAAGTCCTCACTGAAGAGAAGCCTCTGTGCAAGGTCTTTGCAGTCAGCTCTCCGTCCAGGTCTCTTACAATCACCACTACGCCTACAGACACTCTCCTGGGTGCTTGGGGCTCTGTGGTGTCCCGCGGGCTGATGTGCTCTGTCACTCTCCCTCTTATTGTCTGCAACTGGTGCAAGGGACCGTAAAGGGACAGAGTCAGCTGATGATGCTGGGCTTTCCTGTGCATCTCTGTTTACTGCTGTTGGAAAAGCAGGCTTCACGGGGTCTACAGCATCCAGCACCTGAAGCATCTCTTCATCCAGCGCTAATGTGGATTCTCCCAGCGGAAACACTGCTCCTCCACCCTAAGATGGAGATTAATGCAGGTCATTTCTGACCTATGTAGGTGTGAAAGATGACAAAGAGACGAGGAGGAAAAACTCTCTCTCAAGTGGTTACACTCACCATGAGGCTATCCCTGCTGGTGTTTGTTTTGCCTGACAGGTAACCTGTTTTCTGCGACAGTCTCTCTCCATCTTGTGGCTCATCGGGAGCTTGGAAGCTGTGCACAGAAAAAAGTATGTTCACCACAGGTAAGACAGATAGAAACGTCACACAGATTGGAAGACGTCTCTACGCAACAGAAGGAATCTGGTCCTAATTCTTCTAAATCTCCCCACAGCATAAATTAAGTCAAACTGTGACTTACTTTCTTTTCTTCTTGATCTGGTGCTGCCCCATATAGCTTTTCTTTTTCAGAGAAGGACCCGAGGTGCTCATACTGAATAAGTTGTGCTGTGTTTGACAACGCGTGAGTAGGTGGATGTAAATTAACATGACATTGGTTTGACTCTTGACGCAAGTTTATAAACTATATTTAACAATGTGTATCAAAGGTAAGGGAGCGAAAACAAGCGTCGCAGTGGAAGTGATTATTTTGGTTGCTAAGTATAAACATTTTCTTTCTGCTGAGCAGCGATGCGAACACATCTGAAATCAAAAAGTCCGCCGGTGCGCCGCCCACAATTCGACGGGAAACAAGGTACGAATACAAAAGTTCCTATGCACCACCACTGTTCCTAGACAATTCCTAGAATACTACTACCACCAAGTAATACTAATTTTAATAATACTAAATGTATTGTCCTTTAGTTAAATGTTTGGATGAATACAGAGTTGAACAACAGTTTGTGGTTAAATAAAATAGCGGTAAACATTGTATCGATGGATGAATAATGTTTTTACAAGTTGCCTATTAATAAAATGTCAATGAAATCATAAGCTTTAGACTGACTAAACTGTTCTAAAGTGTTTATAAACTGTCCAGTAAGTGCGGTAAATTGTATGGTTAAATACAGAGAGCTGGTAATATGTGTAAATCATAGACTGTATATGGTGTAAATGCATAAATAAATCTATAGTAAGTAAAAAAAAAAAAAAAAAGAAGAAATATAATACAGATTTTGAAGTGTTTGTGGTCAAATCAAATGTGATTCATCAATCCACAACATGTATCTTATGATAACATGTGTGGACAAATAAATCCGTGTATCATTCTCCCTTAACTTTATCATGGTGCATAACGACAATCAACACTTAAAGAAATCAGTGTTTGGTCATTTTTAACCTTCACACTTGGTCGAACATGATTTTTAGCGTCTAGTTTATTGTCAGTAGCACACTGCATTGATAAATCCTGTCGGGCAATGCTTGTGGGCGGGGCCTGGGTGTCTGTCTCGGGGTGTAGGGCGTGAGTGAGCGGCTGGTGGGCGCGCCCGCTGCGACGTTGCGGAGGCTTCAAGATGGCGGAAGCCCTGACAACTCAGGAGCAGCTGGTAAGGGTCTCTTTACGGACTTTTCCTCATCTTTCCATTAGGTTCAGCGTGTACACGTGTCACCATCAGTTTCTTCTGTAAGCGGCGGTGTTTCCCATATATTTAGTCACGGTGATTGTCCCCGTGAACGATGCGGTGTAGTAAACAGCCCTGGCCCGTTAGCACCCTCCTGAGTCTAGTGACTCCGGTGTGACTGACAGCAGTTAGCATGTGTGTTAGCATGATGGCGCTTGCTAGTAGTAGTAGTAGTAGGGCTCACTTAACCGGCTTTGTATCTCGAATACTCGCTCCCTTGACAACCCAGCTTTACGTGTACCGCATATCTATGTTCATGTCGCTGATTTAAGTAGATATACGTCGTTACCTATGATTTGCCCCGTAAATGCGGCTTCAAGTGTCTTTAAAGCTATCGTTAGTCATCCAGCTGCCACATGTAACCTAGCTGCTGGCTAATGCTAATAGCTATTGTTGACTTGCAGGGATTTTCCTCGACAGCGATCTTGCTAGACTCTAAATATCATGTTGGACCAAGTGGGAAGGTTTAAAAAGACCAAACACTGATTGCTGTAAGTGGTGATTGTCATTATGCACCATGACAAAGTCAAGACAGACCAAGACGCTAGTGTTTGCAACGAGCTAGCTAGCAGTAGTCTGCTCTCCGATTTACGATTCACAGAAGTGGTCCTCCGGTTCCTAGCATTGTTGTTGCCATCACTTTCTAGTAAAGGGGATGGGCCTGACATTGATAGCAAACCCTCAAATGTCACGCAGCAATTGTGATGACAGCTTCATTGTATAGCCGCTTGTTTTATCTGCCGCATTTATTCACAAAGTTAACGGATCACTAAGCTATGTTACAGAACACGCTTGTAACTGCTCCCCAGATTTGCCGATGTGTCTTTGGTAGTGAACATGCCCTTTCCCAGATTCAGTAACGTCCATCGATTTACTGCCCTGTCCACTTGCTGTATAAAACGTTTGCAGTTTTAGCTCGCCGATGAAATTAACGACTTGATGTGCTTGCAACCATCCTGGTGCTGATGTTCAGTTACTGGTGGTAACATACAGTATATCCTAACTGTGAGACTTAAAGGTACCCTCCCTGACTTTGTTTTATAGTTTCCCCAAATCCAAAAATGTTATCCCAGCTTGCTGTTGGCCATTTACAAACATGTTTTGGCAACTTCAACTTTGATTTTAGAGCAACATTTATGGTAACTTACATTAACTCTCTTCAAGGGAGGCTACATTTAAATCACACATCACTAGATTCATTACTTGAAAATTATGATAAAATATACTACCAGTAACTGAATGCCAGCTTGAGGGTTGTCGAGGGCATTAAATTGTAACCTTTGGTGTAAGTATGTTTGTCTAATTTTATCCCTCGCATCTCTTGTCTCAATTGAAATGCCAGGACCAGGTGTACGTTTCTCGAACATGTGTGCATACACTTTGCAGCTTCAATATGTGTTCAGTCACAGCATTGCACCCACAGTGCATTCTTGCCACAGAGTTCAGACTACGTCACATCCTGACAGTCTCAATCATTTGAAGTGCAAGTGCTGTGACTGTATAAATGTAGTTAAATAAAAATATATACTTTTTTGTGTATGTTCATTATTGTGCTGATGACATGGTTCCATACACATATGTTAGGGTTTCCCACAGTGAGATATTGCAGTGGTATGCCACATGACTTTCAACAAAGACCACCTATCCAGGCCTGGCATCATAAAATTAATATACTTTCCCCATTGTGGTTAATGAATTACTAGTGTCTGTCATGAAATAAAACATTTGCAGGTAGAAGAAGAGCAGGGGTCACACAGCAAATGCCATATATTTAAGTGTGTATAATAGTGCTTTATCTTTTAACAAAATTGCTCATGAGCTCATGAGATTTTTCTGCATTCTTCTTCTTTGTGCTATGAGTGGGTAGATTCCAGTTTTGTATATAGCTAAACTGTTGTACCCATTCATAAGACTCTCCTTGTGCTGGTTACATATTTGGAGGACAGTTGCGGCTCACTTGGGTGAAAACAAGCTGACTGTTGTCTCTTCCTGGCATATGAGTGCTCTCATCCAAAGCATCTTCCAGGGCCCCAGCATGCTGCTGCCGTCTGTATCACACATTTTTGTAACTTTGGCAGGCAAAGAACAAAAAGGCTGAGGAGGGCCGACAGACTCACGCGTTTCTTTGTCATGTCAGTTGTAATTCCTGTCTTCTCTCTTTCCTATCAGGTTCTCCTCCTCTGGTTATACCCCTTCTGCACAATTTTGTTTTCTGCCGCTAATAGTTTAGGTGTTCAGTGTCTTGCTCAAGGACACTTTGATGCTCTCTCGAACCAAGAACCTTCCAATTACTAGACGGCTACTCTACCTCATGAGCCATGCCTCCCACTCACACACTAACACCTCACCTTTTTGTCTTCCATCAACTTTCTGATGTTTGTCCAGGCTGTGGAGGAGTTCCTGAGTGAGGTGCGTAGCAGGGAGCAGCCTCACAGTGCTGGGTTCGTCTCCCAACCTACCGCTGTAAAGTTTCTCATGGCCCGCAAGTTTGACGTCTCCAGAGCCATCGACCTCTTCCAAGCATACAAGGTACAGCAGCGCGTTGCTTGGGGACAAAACCGAGATGACTGTTTAGCAGACATGCTAACAATGTCCTGCCCCGTTCAGTTCTAAATATCAACGTGCTGTATGGGGGGAAAGTCAGTCCACAGTCTTCTTTGCAGACCCATACAGGAGGTGGACACAATATCATGAACACCCATAAAATCCTAATGAAAACAAAAACATAAGCAACAAACAAAACCATTGCTAACCCAATTGTTTTATGTTTAATACTGACTGAAGACAAGTGCTGTATTATACTGTTGCTATATATATATATATAACCTTTAAAAGCACAATCGATGACAAAAAACAAGTGTTAGAACCTGTTCCAGTTTGATTTACAGACTAACACTAGACAACAACCACATTCAAGTTAAAATTTTGATGCTGTTTGTGTACATGCTGTTTTAGCTGCAAGCTGATGACGTCCCCTCTTCTCTCCTGTCTCTAACATCATGCATCAAAACTAGAACACAAGAATCAAAGAGGGCATCATCAATATCAACCCTGACGAGGAGCCCCTGCGCTCTGAGCTGCTGAGTGGCAAATTTACAGTCCTGGTGAGTGTTGAAGCAATTATGATCCACATTTCACAAAGTAACTGCGGTTTATCATTTCAGTATTACACCCCAGGATACACGTAAAATGGTGCACACCCTAGTCATTAAAGAAGAATTTTGTGTGTTTGTGTATGTGCACGTCAGTCTGCACATTTGTTTTTGCACATAATCATAATTTCTAGCTGCCCTTTCTCACAAATCATATAGAATACAAACACTCTGGATTTGCAAAGGTGTGTATAAATAACATGTTAATGTTCCTACCAGCCTGGCCGTGATGCAAAGGGTGCTGCTTTGGCACTCTTCACTGCTCGTCTCCATCGGCCAGATGTCACCACCCACAAAGCTGTGCTGCAGGCCATCATCTATCAGCTGGACAAAGCCATAGAGAGGTGATGCCTAACCCAGTGGTTCTTAACCTAGGGGTCCCGGGGGTCCCAGGGGGGTCGCGAGAATGCTGCTATAGACACAAAAATAGAAAAAAAATAACTAGACGTACTGTAGTTGTGAATGGAATCACATTGGGTGGACACTGTAAATATTTTGCACTGTTTAATCCAGCAGGTGGCGGTAATGCCAACCGCTATAAAACGACAAAGAAGAATCAGGCCCCGATCAGACAGAAAGCGCTTTGCTGGTTTGAAAACCTGAGCAAAGCACTGCGTTTTTTTAATGTTGCTAGGCAACCACTGAATCAGCTGTCCTGTCAGTGTAATCAAAGATTATAGCACCAGCGATCTGTAATCTTAAGTAATAACGAAATATTTTCAACTTCAAAAAGGGTTCGGACTGCCAGAAAGTTTAAGAACCCCTGTCCTAACACTTTATTCATACATACATACACGCAGTTTGTACCTTGTTGTTGTGGTTCACTTGCTCGTTTCATTTTGTCATCATTCATTTCTTCCCTTTTCTGTTTTACATTTTTCAATGTAGACTTTACTTTCTAAAGGCACTAGTGACTTCTCGCTATGAGTGGAGTCAGGTCCCCAGATAGTGTTGGCCACTTTTGTTGTCCCCAACATGAGATTTTTATTTGTTTTCCTATAAGCACCTGGATAAAAAAAAAAGAAAGCCACATGCCTTTATTTATTTTTTGAAGTTTATCTCAGGTATAGTTTATGAAATTATAATGTGTGTGTTATGGCTTCTTTTGACCATCCTCCTCTGCTTTTAATTTGAAAATCTTGTTTATTTCCCCCCAGTGCACAAACTCAAAGAGACGGGCTCATATTTATCTACGACATGACCAACTCCTGCTATGGCAATTTTGACTATGAGCTCTGTGTCAAGATCCTCAATTTGCTCAAGGTGAATATAAGGAACGTCCGCTGCTCTCTCTGATCTGCCTGCCTTCAAGTTTTTGGTGTCCAAATGGTCTCTGAAATTTTATAACCCTTTTCATACTTTTGTCTGTCTGGCGTTTGTGTTTACTAGGGTGCATTTCCAGCTCGTCTAAAATGTGTCTTCATTGTGTCATCACCTCTTTGGTTTCGAGCACCTTTTGCCCGTTCTCCGCCTATTTGTACGCGAGAAGCTAAGAGAAAGGGTATGTAGGTCTGTTTTCATTTGGAGTTATATCATAGTATGCACGTTGTTTAGTTGATGTTTGAAATATGTCTTGTTTTTTCTTCTTTCACCAGGTGTGCACTGTGAAAGCTCATGAGTTGGCCAGTCACATCCCAGTGTATTCCCTCCCTGAACACTTGGGTGGGACATCCCAGTATAGCCACGTGGCTTGGATCCAGTCCTGTGTTAATATACACACAAACACTGTTGAGGGTGACAAACAAGAACATGACACACACGACTGTGTGGGAAGCCTGCTGCGCTCCTACAGCTTAGAGTGCAGCAACACAAGCGCAGGCGCTACACTGTCCCACACCCATATAAACTCACAGTTAGGTTCTGAGCTAGCCGTGGCTAACTCTAACTGCTACGATGATAGCAATGCTAATCCAAACAACCACTGCGGTGTGGTGGAGGGCAGGACTGGAGGCCCAGGACAGTATCAGCAGAGCCCACAGTCTACTTCAAACAGGCCGCAGGGGAACCACCAACACTGGAACGGCTCAGCAGTGAGCAGGGCCAACGTGGCCGTTAGTGGCTGTAGCCCCAATGCTAACATTAATGGTCGTGGCCGCCAGGCCCCTCCCCAGTCAGACACGCCCCCTGACACACCGCTTTCCCAGAAGGGTTGTGGGGATACGATTGACGGCATGGTAACAGACTCTAACCGTAGGTCTCAGAATGAGGGTGTAAAGGAGGAGGACGAGGAGGATGGTGAGGAAGAGGAAGGTGTACCGCCGTTGCCCCAGAAGTCTTTGCCTCGCCCCCCACAGCAGCTTTCCTCCCAGTCCCCGCCCCTGTCTTCGTCATGGGGTCCTGAGGATGAAGACCACTGCATGGAGGTGTCTGTTCACATGCCAGAGCAGGGAGGCATGACGGTGCATGACCTGGTGGAGCATGTGAAGCGAAAGAAAAAGAAGGGGATCTATCAGGAGTATGAGGAGATCCGTAAGGAGCCTCCAGCAGGCGCCTTTGACTACTCCAAGTAAGAGGGGAAAACATTCTGTCCATTTGGCTCCTTTTTTTTTCGGTGCCTTTCTGTCTCTCTGCTGGCCACTTGTTTTTATTTTCAGTTTCTCTGTTCCAAGGTGAAGGAAAATTTCATGACGGTTAACACATCAACCCGCTATTATAAGTCTGTCGTGTTACCTCACATTGTATTCAATTCTGCCTTTACAGAAAACTGTCCAATCAGATAAAGAACAGGTACAGTGACGTTCTCTGCCTGGATCAGTCACGAGTGCGACTCTGCCAGCTCTGTGATGACGAGGATGAGGTGATACTTAATTCATCAATCTGTTCTCTCTTTCTCTTGTTTTAATGAACTCTGGATTAATTTCATTCGCAAATGTTCTCTCAAAGTTATGTTAAATATTGCACGCATCAGCAAATGATTGGCTGTAGACATAAATGTGGAGAATTGGTGTTGCTTTACCAGTTATATTAGATTTGAGTGTCTACATTTTGGGTATGTTCTTTGTGGTGTCATCCCCTGCTTTTATCTACTGTATCTGATATATGTGATTGGAAAGTAGAGTGATTTACCGTCTCTGTGGGTTTTGTGTGGTTTAAAGGTGAGGCTTGTTTGCTTTAGGCAGCCTGGGTCTTATTTTTGTAAAAATGAGCACAGTGTTATCGTAACAGATACCAATAATGGCTAAAAATATGAATAGAAGACCAGGTTGTAAAAAGTATTTCAGACAAAATAATGGCTTTAGAAGAAATGTTGGTAAAATTAATGAATCTGCTATGGAGGAATAATGTATTTTATATATTGACATTTTAATGTGACTCCAGTCTACATTTCTAACCTAAGTATGTGACTGGCCTAAAAATAGGATTTGGGGAACCCACTTATTAATAGTAATGTTCAGTGTCCTCCTACAGGAGGCAGTAAATGCAACCACCACCAAGCAGTACATCTCACCTCTCTTCTGCTTTGTGTTTCACAGACATCAGATTACATTAATGCCAGTTTCATGGATGGGTACAAAATGACCAATGCCTACATTGCAACTCAGGGTGAGCAGCAACTACTCTTCTACTCCTTATTATCTTTATATAGCCCTCCATGCCATATACACTTTTTCTGCTCCAACACTACTTAGTCCCACCTTATTGGGATATAGTTTGGTGTTGCCATGACCTGACAGACTTTTGTGTCCCTCAGGTCCTTTGCCAAAAACCTTTGGTGACTTCTGGCGCATGGTGTGGGAACAGATGGTACTTATTATTGTCATGACCACCAGGTGAGACTCCTTTATATCTCAGATTTATTTATTTATTCAGTTGTGTGTTACAGATGGGGTTTGTATATAGAAGTGGTGTTCAAAAATTGATACAGCAATGTATCGCTATACTTTTTTCCATGATACTGTATCTATATTCCAGCCCATCTTATTGATACATAAATGATAGTGCTTTGAGTATTAGCTCAATGCTAACATATAATTGGAATCTCCATTAACATGCTAACAGACATTAGCATTGCGATAATATAGTCTAACATTAACTACACATTTTGCATGCTTAACATCCTAAAAGACTGAAAAACGTATGCTGCAGAATTGTGCAACAATTTGGACTTATAGTAAATAAAGAGAGAGAACCTGTACTGAACCTTTTCACAGGCATTTTGTATTAATTGTTAGACAGATATCGTGATGAATCATTTTAGGATTGTCTTGCAATATACTGATTATTGCAGAATTGGTGTATCATGATATTATCGGTATCATGAGCCGTGTATCATTTCATGAGGTACCCTGTGATTCCCATCCCTAGTCCTTGATGGGCTTATGATGAGATTAAAAAGATGTGAAATTTTGTGTGTCTCAGGGTGGTAGAGCGTGGGCGTGTCAAGTGTGGTCAGTACTGGCCTCTTGAGGAGGGCAGGACTGAGCAGCATGGATACTTCTTGGTCAGGAACACACACATCCAGGTGTTTCAGGACTTCAAACTCTCCCACCTTGAACTTTACAACACACAGGTAAGTCACTCCGACTGCATATCTTCATGACTTTGGGGGGGGGTACTTAAAATTCTAATAAGATTACTTGACATGACCCTGATGACTCTAGATTGTTGGATTGCTTTTGTCAGTGGAATCTCTTAAATTTCTAAGATATCCCCATTACATGTAATGTGTTGCTCTATTCTTTAAACCTTTGTCACCTCTCCTTAGTCTGGAGAGAGACGGGAGGTGTACCACTACCTCTATGTCAGCTGGCCAGACTTCGGGGTGCCCAAAAGTGCTTCAGCTATGTTGGACTTCCGTGAGCATGTGCTTCGGAGGAGGGAGGCTGCAGTCCAGAGCCTGGGATCCAGTTGGACGGGGCCTCCAGGGGGCCCCCCTGTGGTTGTGCACTGCAGTGCCGGCATTGGCCGCACAGGTAAACATAGCTTTATGAGTGGACATTTTATTAGATAAACCTGTGTTTATTTAAAGACATTTTTCCTTTACGAGGTATGTGGCTTTGTTCTGGCATGTTATATTGGTGTTGCTGTAAAACAAAACAAAAAATTTCATGTAAAGACGTGTAACTGAAGTAGACTGGGTATCATTTTAAGTTTTGCAATGCAAGCCCGGTCACCTGAGTTCTGGTAATAATAGAAAAACTATTTTCTATTCACTTTTTATGTAATTTTATTTATGTAACATTTCTACAAAACCCATTTTTTCATTTAACATAACAAGCCCCCGATGCTGAAAAAATCCTAGAGGAAACACTGCTAGAGTTTTAGATTTTCCCGTGGTGTTGTCTGTATTGTCCAGTCTTTTGTGACCTAAGCATCTGCGCTTAATTGGGTAACGTTTTCTTGTGTAACTTCTCAATCTATGCCTTGGTCCCTGTTTCCCGACCAGGCACGTTCTGTACACTGGACATCTGCCTGTCCCGGCTGGAGGACATCGGCACAATAGATGTCTGTCAGACGGTGCGGCGGATGCGTACTCAGAGGGCTTTCAGCATCCAGACCTGGGACCAGTACTACTTTTGCTACACAGCAGTTATTGAGTATGCCCAGCGCAATGGGAAATTGAGCCCAGTGCAGTGGTCTGACTCAGACCTAGAGACTGACAGCGAGTGAGAGACACACAGAAGGATTAAAAAAAACAAAAAACAATGGTATAGCCAACCTCAGCCGAAGTAATAGGAACTAAAGAGTAAGGAATGACGTTTCAAAGTAGAGGAGGGAGATGACTCTTCTGCCATAAGAGACAAGGGATGGACATGTTGTTTTGGCTCTTGATGTAATGATGAAGACTCCCACAGTTGCTCTTCCTTCACATGAATGGATAGACAGCAGATTTGAAGAGCAGAGAAAAAGAACACAGGGAGTGGAGACTGCGCATTGCATCACTGATTGAGCAAGCTGTCCTGCCAATTTTCGAGCCCCTTTTTGTTTAGCAAACTACAGGGGGACTGCCCTGAACCTGTCTTGTTGACAATAGAGTTGTACGAGTTGTAGCATTTTTATATTACCTTGCACATGAGGAATGACAAACTTGAACTGTACCCTTTGAAGCCCTCCAAACCCAGTCTTCGTTCGTTTTTGCATTTCTTGTTCCTTTTCAACCCTGAACAACTCTGATCACAGATAAAATGTGAGGGGGTACGAAAAGGTGAAACTTGAAAACATTTTTTGTTTTGTGTTTTTATTTTTAAAGGAGAAATGGTTCTGCATGAGCAAATGGTCGTGACAATAGATCAGTGTATGAGCCATTTAGTCCATTTCCGTTTTATCTTTATTTTCCATGTCCTTTTTTTCTATGGTGCATTTTCTACGTGTGTTTCATATTTGTGCATATGTAGACTAACATTTCAAAGCCAAAGTCCTCACCCTCAATGCTTGGATGTACTCCTTACTGAGATATTATAGACTGAAGCCCATGTATATTCTTGTAACATACATTTATACGTTATTGTGCATAGTAACAACCTCTGAAAGAATAGCAAAAAAACCTTGTTTTAATATAATTGACATAACCTTGAGAAGAAGTATAGCGAGTCAGGCTATGACAAAATATAGAAAAGGGTTCTGGTATTAAAACTGATATCGTATTGTAAATCTGTGTGATTTGTCAGGTCTAACATTATCTTTACTGTTGGAGCGTTCTGAATGGACGATCTTAAGTAATTTGGCCTTAACTTGATTCACTGCCTCGTCGTTCTCAGACCTAAACCATACCTGAAACTGAAAACTTTTATTTACCCTTTTGTTCTTTCCCTTTTTGAAACGTATGCCCTCGATATCACAATTGTTGTTTGATTCTCGAGGCAAATTCTGCCTCAGATAATTGTGCCTTCAACTTTTCCTTAGCTTAACGTCTCGCTAGTGTAGTAATAACACCCAAACTAGTGCACTTGAATAGTACACATTGACTATGTGTCACACAGGACACACACATTTTGCCTATAGTCCTGTACATAGTACACTACTAATAATAACAAGACAGTAGTGAGTTACCTGGGACTAAGCTCTGGATTGAGACATGGCTATTCTTTTATCATTTGACCTCAGGGGGTAATTCTAGTGTATTTTGCCTAGTGTCAAAGATCCATTTCTGGGTTTGCCTCTGGTAAATTATCATTTAAGAAAAAACTATATCAACTTTATTTTGTATTTTTTACTGTATTGTATCTTACTATATTTATGTCTTTGTAAAACTTCTATAATATTGAAATCAGTGAATGTTGGTACGATGCTACAAAGAAAACAAACCAGTTATTGTATTTGATAAGCTGAACAAATCAGATGGGGAGTGAAGTATATTTTTTGTTGTTCACAATGAAACTTTGGTGGAAAACTTGCCATTGTATTTTCAGAACTGACTTGTATAAATGGTGATTGTTCAATTCTAGGAAGATTTGGGGGAGAGGGGGGACTGGGTGAAGCAAACGACTGTTTTTAGAGAGCGTATTGTAAAACTCTTCAGTAACAATTACATTAACGTCTTACTGTTTGGTACCCAATGCCAAGGACAAAACAAAAAATAGCTATGAAGAGGAAAAAATAGCAAAGTTAGCAAAGTGGTTGCCATTTCTGTTCACAAAATCCCAGCTTGTTGTCTGAAAAAATATATAATTGGACTGGATTAAGGTTTATCGGCATGGAAAGCGAGCCTTGAATGTTTTTGGGGTAATGGTGTCTAAGCAATTTTGTCAAGACAGACATGGATATTGTGAATGTGGACCCTGCATCCCTCAATGCCAAAGGCCCAGGCTCACCCTAAAGATTATTTTATTTTTTTTTGCTCTCACACATCCTCAACAGCCTACTAGCATGGACCTACCAGTGCAGCCTTGCATCCATGGACACAGAAAGACTCGGGAGCACCTTGGGAACATTACTTAAGATTATGTATAGCCACAAAATGGGAGTGTGTGTGTGTGTGTGTGTATGTAAAAAGAGTCTCAGTTCCCATGCTACTTTGAATTTGTTGAATGAGAAACCGAGAATGCAACGTGCATTTGTCATTGGTGTTCATCTAATGTTTCTTTCTGTGCTTTAAGTTCACGTGATTGAATTACAGCCTTTTACATGCTGTCATCAAGGCTGTCCCATTAAAGGTCCAGTGTGTAATATTTGAGGATCTATTGACATAAATGCAATATAAAGTCCATAACTATGTTTTCAGTGGTGTATAAAGGCCTTACATAATGAAATTAGGTTTTTATTGCCTTAGAACGAGCCATTTCTATCCCCTTACATGGACGTCACCATGTTTCTTCAGTAGCTGAAATGGACAAACTGCGCTACTGTCACTACGTTCTTCTATGATAGCACCACTATCAAGTATTTAATTATTTTTATTTCATGCCACTATGAAAGCACCATAATCTGACCGCAGGCCAGATATTATTGCTGGCGGGCAGTTTTGCCGAGGGTCCATAATAACAGAGAGAATTAATGTTGTAAAATGCCTTTGTAAACTTTAACTATTAGACCTATGTGGTTTAAAATGGACTGTGGTTCAGAAACAATAATAACATGGTTTTACTGAATAAGTGTATTCAACTATTTATTTTAGTTTTTGCTTAATGATGCTATTTGACCAACAATAGTGAAATGATTAATTACAAATATGTATTGACATTTAGGCTACCTCTCCTCCACTCTGTGGGGTGAGAGCCTGCAGGACTTAAAAATAAGGCAAAAACATTGTGTAACGTGTTTCAGCGTCGTCAAGGTAACGTGATAAAGTGGCAAAGTGCTGTTCTGTTCCCATTTACACCATTTTGAGCCCTTGCAGCTTTTTTTTTCTTCTCTTTATTAGTATAGCAGTATTAACAATGCAACATACAGGGATACATACAGTCTATGCATACAACACATAAAAGATACAAAGTTACATATAGCTAGGGGGGGCTACAAAAAAAGAGACAAATATGAAAAACAAAAAAGGACAAGAATATCACAGAAAGACCTTCAAATGTGTACAGATATTAAGTACCTTCAGAGCCTTTTTTTTGGAAGAGAAACCAATTGTTGTAAAATAAAGTTTAATTTCCTTCTTAAAGACTATAAATAGGGGGGGTTTTGTCTGTAAATTTGCATTTATGTATATGAAATTTTGCCAGAAACAAAACTAAATTTATTCTAAAATAATGGTCGCAGTGCAGCTTTTCATTACTGGAAACCCCAAAAACAACATTCTGCCAGAACAAGCAGAAACCTGGATATATATAATCAATAATAAATGTACATAAATCCTTCCAAAATTGTTTTACAAAAGTGCTGAACAGATGTAATATCATTTCTATATGAGTCTCACAAAAAGTACATTTAGGATCGATGTCCTTTTTAAACCTCTTCATGTAATACTTAGTGGGGTACACTCTATGAATAATCTTAAAGGATACTTCCTTAGTTTTGTTAATAAGTAAATATTCATGGGGCAACATCCAAATGTTTCTCCAGCACAGATCATTGACAAACTGATTCCAATAATACATGACATATGGAATAGAGACTATGTCTTGTTGGAACAAGGCACGAATAGCTCTGTTGTTACGTGGACGGGAAGAGAAGCAGACTTTTCCTACTGTATAGTCACCAGGATCAAATGCAGATACAACCTGAAGGTCAGGTCTATGAGCATTCCTGAACAATACAAGTACATCTGAAGGAATGGCATCCAGAACAAGAGCAAAGTCTCTGGGTGTTACAGGGATCCCATATAGATGTAAAAATTCCTGATAAGTAAGAAGAAAACCCTGCTCATTTAGAAGCTCTCTTACCAGTAAAATGATATTCCTGAACCAATATTCCAAGAAGAGGGGCTTGTTTTTATGCAGAATGTCACGATTGTTCTAGATATAATATCTGTGCAGAGAGAAATTATGTTTGTAAATTAAGGCCCATGACAAAAAGGCCTGCCGGTGAAAAGCAGAGAGCTTAACAGGTACTTTGTCAATATCATAATTACAAACCGGCCACCAAACATAGAGAATACATGATTGAAAAAGCAAACAGCATCTGGTCTATTTTCCGGCACACTTTGTCATCAAGATACAGGGACAGAGCAGCATAAGTCAGCCTAGATATTCCTTCAGCCTTAGAAATAAGGACTCGACCCTTTAGTGAGAAATCCCGCTGTAACCATTGATTTAGTTTTGTTTTGGTCTTTCTAATAATAGGGTTAAAGTTAACTAGGCCTCTGGATTTTTGATCCTTGAGGATGGTTATTCATAAGCACACACACAAGCAGTTCATTTTTAACTGGGATGCCACAATAAGAAGAGGTAAAACAGTTTTTAACAGCCATGAGTTTCTTGGACTTGGGAATAAGCCTTATTAAACTTTGAGTCATAGTGGGAGGGAGAGCATTTTTTTCTATACTTTCTATGAAGACCTCAAACAAGAAAGTAGTTAGATGTTCAGCAAATAACTTGTAAAATTCTGAGGTAATGCCATCAATTACGGGAGATTTGTTGTTTTTCAAGTGCCTAATAGACTCAGCAACTTCTTCAATGCGAATAGGTTCATCACATAGCATAGAGTCTGCCTCACTGATCATTTTAACAGTCTTCAGCGTGTCAAAGAAGAGATCTGTGGATTCCTGTGAAAAATGCGACCCATAAAGTGATCTATAGACATTACTACAGTATGTAGCAATGACTTTTGGATCATCCACTACCACACCATCAATGAGTAGTTTATGAATAGTGTTGTTAACATAATTAGGATTTATAAGCGGAGGTGATACGGGAAGTCTTTCGCAGCCATGTCTTGTCCGTTTTTACGAGAAGAACCTGTTGCTGAAGGTGGAAGAATAATTCGAAGAACTTTTCGAATTAATCGCGTATTGCGAGATAGACAGGATCCTTTAGCGCAGCGCGATAATATACTTATTGAGAGATATCGTTTTTCTCGTGAGGGTGTCATATACATCATAAATTTGTTGGAACCACACGTTAAAAGTTCGACTCGTCGGAGTCGGGCTTTAACAACGGCACAAACTGTGTGCATTGCCCTGAGATTCTTTGCGAGTGGCACGTTCCTTTACACTACTGGAGATGCGGAAAACTTGGGGGAAAGTGCTGTCTGTCGTGACATTCGCAAAGTGTATCTGGCACTCAAGCAGTTTTTAGGGGGTTTTGTGGTATTTCCAAGCCACTTCAGACCACAGGTTGTGAAGCATTGCAGGTACATTACAATTGTTAATGAAGATCATGCAACCATGATCATGCCAAAAAGTAGGACTTACAGTGTTCCTCAGGCTTCCCTAACGTGATTGGTGCCGTTGACTGCACACACGTCCCCATTAAGGCCCCACCAGGCCCCAATGAAGGGGATTTTGTGAACCGAAAGGGATTTCACAGTGTAATGTGCAGGTAAATTACTATTACAATTCTCAATATTCCAGATTAGTAATATATCAAATAATAAAAAAAATTAATCAAAGTATGCAGTTGACTGATTAAAAATATCTTAGATGGTGTGTGACTCAATGTCATACATCACAAATGTGGAAGCAAAATGACCTGGTTCTGTGCATGACTCCAGGATTTTCAGAGTCACATTTATGAACATTATTTGAACGTGGTAAGAAATTTTTATATCAAGCTCACTGTATGACATACATTTATTCTGAGCCTAACAAAACTGCATTGCCTGCAGGCAGTATTTTCTGACGCCATTCCCTGACCCAAACCCCGGACCACAAACCTGTTACAATGCAGCTCTAGCCAGGACAAGGGCACGCATTGAAATGACCTTTGGGCAACTAAAGGAAAGATTTCAGTGTCTGAAGGGTCTGAGGGTTGCACCTGACAGGGCCTGTGACATTATTGTTGCATGTGCCATTCTCCACAACATTGCCACCATCAGAAAGCCCTTTGTGGTGGAGGTGCAGCCTCATGATGACCTCCAGCCAGTGCACTTGGACCAACCTAGTGGCAGAGCTGCACGGGACAGAATTGTGGAACACCATTTTTGATTTTTTGGATTTTTTGTTTTTTTTACAAACAAAAACATTCATTAAATGAATAGAAGACAAGACAACATGCTTAGTTCCTTGATTTTTATTTCAATTATTCTTTGTCAAGAAAAGCCAGTGATGGTCATCTTTTGCCTGCAATAAGATATATTGTTATCCAAGGTCAGCAATAGTACTCCTTTTCAAGCAACTCAATCTCTAGTGCCAGTATTTTCTTCTTTAAGGTGTCAAGTTCTATTTCTCCCCTTAATTTTTTTCAGGTCAAAATACTAAATTTTCTGTTGTATATCCGTTTATATTGGGTACGGATATCACCCTGTGCCATTTTTGGATAAAAAGTAACAGAAATAAAAAGGAAATATACTACACTGCCCACCTCTGTATCACTTTGTGCTGTAGGCCTGTCTGGCCTTTCCTCCTGCAACTCATATTGCAGTCAGAAATTATATGTACACAACTATAAATTAAGCAGTTATTTATGCACTTACAAGTACTTCCTCCAAAGGACAGTCATCTGAGAGGGTTTCTTCACTGTGCTGTGCAAAAGAAACTAATGGCTAACTAAAAAAGTCCACTTACTGGACATGCTTCAGCCACCACTTGCTTGGGAACAGGTAAAAGTGTTGGTGTATTATGTAAAACTGCACAAAAGAGGAGAACACAATGGCATTAAAATGAACTACACTAGGAAAAAATGTGATCAATAACATAGTGCAAAAATATTTTTACATTAAGTTATGCAGTTTTCACCTTCACAAGTCAAAGCAATTCATCACTACTCAATTTTTTATCAGTTGAAATGACTGTACCAGCCATTTGGATTATAGGCATACTTAATTTAATGCAGCAACAAATTATTTACAGTGTAGCAAGATAATTTAAAACTCATTTACCAGTAATGAAGGTGTTGCTACTGGTCCCTGGCTTTTGGTCTAAGGAAGAGCTGCCCCCAGTGATGCCCTCCACAGTGGGTCTGTTCACATTTAAACCAAGGGCCAGCTCTTCTGCCGGGGTATAATGTGGGGGTGCAGGACCACTACCTGTTTTTTTCTGCTCTGCCTTTTTCTTGGTTGCTGTTCTAAACAGACAAACACATAATTTAACATTTATTTTGGTAAAAGAGACTAAACAGTAGAAGTAGAAAAGATTACCATTTTGAAGAATATTCTTGTATTTCACTTTTACTTGTTCCCATGTTCTAGTGGGTCCTGAGGTGGCTCTGACATTAAGCAATTATGAAATTATTAAAATACAAGAATATATACTGTAATAAGTGATAGAACCATAACATGGAGCACTTATGCATTTAATTTGTCTGAAACTTTTTGCCAGCCCTCTCTCCTGGCTTTTGCACACTTTGAAGTTTTCAAATTCTGTATATCCTTCTTGTCACGATCCTGTCCTGTGTGCTGTGTTTTCAGGTTTTCTTTTTGAGGGTTTGGGTTTGTAGCGGCTATTTAGTCTGTGTTTCAGTTCCATGTCTTAGTTCCCAGTCTGGTATTTATGTCGTAGTATTTACTCCTTGTCCTTGTACTTCTGTGTTGTGTTCTTGATCTGTTATGTAGTCTGTCTGTGTTTTGGGTTTCAGTCATGTCTGGTGTCTAGTTTACTCTGTGTGTTTGTGCTGGTTGGTCTGGTACTGTCTGTGTGTCTGGTTTTGTGGTTATCCACATCTTTAAGTTACTTAGTATCTGTCTTGTCTCGTATCTTAGTTCTTAGTCCTGTACCTTAGTTTATGTGTTAAGTGTTCACTCCCGGTCTGTGTACTTCTGTGTTTTGCCTATGTCTATCTGAGTTCTGTTTTATCATTGCTTCAGTCTGTGTTCCTTGTTGTTCATGAATGCTGTTTTGCATCTGCGTCTCTCTGTTCCCCCCTGCTGTCTCTCTGCCTGCGTGTCTGTTTTTCCCTTCTGTCTCTCTGCCTCGTTAACCCTGATCCCAGTCACCTGTGTTGCTCCCGCCCTGCTCGTTAGTCCCTGTGTATAAATGTCTGGTGTTTCTGTTCATTCTGTGTCTGGTCATTATCGCGTGTAGATGCTCTGTCTTGTGATGTTCTGGTTGCCTGTCGTGTCACCCTGTTTTCTGTGGATTTGGATTTCTGTTTGGATCACCTGTTTTGGATATTGGACTCAGCCACTCTTTGTAAGTGTGGTCGCCTTTGGTTCGTTTATTAAAACCCTTGAACTGTACTTGTCAGCCTTGAGTCCTGCATTTGGGTCCACCAACCTGCCTCACCACACACATCCTGACACTTCTAGCAATAACACTTGCTCTGCTGCGGAGAAAAACTGAGTGCGCTCTTTGGCCATGGTGAACAGCCAATAGCAGCGTTGCTGATCAATGTTTCTGCTATCAATACATATCCCCTTTTAAACCAGCACATGAATGCGCAATTATCTCAGATAACTCAGTCCAGCTGTACTAATCATAACCGGCAGGTGTGTTCGAAGAACCCAATTAGCCAGATCATGATTAGGCCGATGATATTATCTCGGATGTTTTAAGCAATGTACGAAGAATGGGCCCCTGTTCAGCTTCCAGTAAGAGGCTCTGCCAATATTTGAATCAGCTGACAACCTGATATTGATGCAAATTGCTTTATGCTCAGTAAGTGGAGTAGGTACAATACTAGCAGTGATGCAGTCTTGATCTGCAGAGTTTGATATAAGCCAAAAGTCTATTCTGGACCGTCTAAACCTGTTTTGTTACTCCATGTGTATGACCTGTTTGATGGGAACTTCTCTCTCCAAATATCAATAAGACCGAATTTGTCCATAAACTGCAATAATTTAGCGTTTAAGTTGTTTGGCTCACCAGGGGGCCATCTATCAAGAGCATTGTCTATTGTAATATTAAAATCTCCTCCAATCAATAAAATCGGGTTGGAAAATTTAGCCATTGACAGGCATAATTGTCTACGGACTCAATCAATAAGTCATTCTCATGTTTGGTGTTGTATCCGTAAATATTTATAATAATGAATGGAACGTCACTGTGGCTGCACACTAGCCCAACAAAAGTGGCCATTTGGATCACATGTTGAGTGTAAAAGTTTATCATCAAATACATTTTTCACTATAGAAACACCAGTGGAATGTATAGAACCATGGGAGAGCCAGAGATCATTGCCCCACTGAGACTTCCAGAAATTAGTGTCCTTAGTTTGAATGAGACTCCTGGGGGGGAAAAAAGCAAAAATCTGTCCGATATTGTTAAGAAAACAAGAATAAGGCCTTTTGTTTCACATTGTTTCTCAACCACCTAGCATTAAGAGAAATAACAGATAAGGACAAAACAGAGACAGGTCTTACAATGAAAGTCAATCAGATATCACTCAGGTGCAGTGAACGAAGCTGTAGAGAACAATGAGCTGCACCATCTAAAACTCACAGTGAAAGTAGCCTAGAACCTATAACAATATGGTTGGTCATAGAGCTGCCAGAGGATGTGTTGGGGAGTTCAGAGTATGAAAATATTATATACAAGAAAAAATATTAACAAGGTATACAGGCTTAGCCAAATCCATTTAAAATAAAGGAAAATAAACACAAAATGAACACCTACATAAAGGAGGAAAAGCCTCTTAAGATTGTGTCGTCAAGGAGTAATCAATAACAACAAAAAGTGTTCTCCTTCTCGCCCTTTGTGTAATGTTACAAAACAAAAATGGTGAATCCCCGAGAAAGTCAGTAGAGCAAAGAATTAAAATAATGCAAAGTCACCATTGCTCAATCCCACAACAAAAACCTGTCCATTAAGGTACACACAAAGTATTATGGGGGAAGAATAATTTCAGACCCATTGATGAACCCTCATCCCCCAACGAAGTAAGCCGTTTTACCTTTCTACAGGTGTTTGGTAAAGCTAAAGGCCACGGCTTTGGAGGAACGCCTTACCATATGCAGCTTTCCAGACAGCATCCCTGTATACTCTAGCGGTAAATCGGATGACGATTCCTCTGGGCTTCAGGTCAGTCTGTCCTTTTTTTTGCCGAGGCAATGTGCAACATCAATGGAATCTTTGAGTTTGAGCCTCTCTATAGGTAGCACTGCCTGACAGATGTGGATAACCTCCTGCCGCACATTTTCGCCATTCCTTTTCGGGCACTCCATGAAGTTTCAGGTTCCATCTTCTCATGTACTGCTCCAGCTCTGTAAGCCGTCGACGGTCATTTTCTCTTCCAGTTTTCCCACATTATTTTCAATGTTGGCCACTTTCCCTTTGACATCTCTGATTTCAGCACATGTAAACTCCACCGTCTTTTTCAAGCCTTCAATCATTAAGGTGTTTGCACTCACCATTTTCTCAATAGCATCAGACCGGCAGTTAATGAGCACAGAAATTGTGGCCACGATGTCTGAGTCCATGGTCGGTTTTTGGGGGGCTGGAGGTTTGCTCGGAGTTACTGGCAACGAGGGAAATTACTCAACATCAAACATGGAAAAAGAAACTGAATTCACGAGTCCAACACTTGCGTAGTCGTGACAGTTGTCAATAAGTACGTTAGTAACGTTGTCTCGGCTAGCTGTAGCACGGTTAATGCTGGTTTGATCTTTTCTCTTTTTATCGCGACCACCAGCCGACATGTCTATAGCAGTCACCCACTCCTTAAACAAGTCAGCAAGGTGAAAAGGTAGGACAGTGAAGTGCCTGACTTAAAAAGGGTATTTCACAAACTCTCTGTAAAAGTTGGTCCACAGCTCAAAAAGCGCATTAGTTCAAGCCGCCATCTTGGCTCCTCCTTCCTCCCTTGCAGCCTCTTAAACTCAATCACTTTCCAAGTGACGTCAGTAAAGTCTGTGAGGGTTCAGGGCTTAGGATTTAGGGGGGACATTGGGATTCGGCCAGTGAAGCCGACCGAAGCCTGCATGGAGGGCTCCATGTAGGCCCAAAAATGACTCAAAACCCTGTGACATCCTGTCGCACATGAGAGATGTAACCGTATTGCTTAGATTATAAACTCTCTGTGAATCTAAAACAGCTATTTGGCCATCAGGGCCGCTGTGTTAGTGTTTGGCAAGTGAGCCTTTTAGGTCGGCTGATTAAACAGTGACAATCTGAGTCAGACAAACACACTGAGCCAAGAGACTTTGTGTAGGCGCAGCAACTAGAATTACGATGTTTCTGCTGTTGCTGTACGTCATTAAAACCTGTGTATGCTGCACGATCATGCACAGTAGATGCTGGTGCCAATAGGAAGTAACCCTATAGTAGTATTTTATTTGTCCAAAACTGGCTTCACTGCTCTCTATTCAAATCTGTGGAATGACTTCATCCAGTAATATTCTGTCGATGGGGTAGAAAGACAGTTGGTTGCAATTTGCAACCTCACCACTAGATGCCACTAAAGCTTACACACTTAACTTTTAAGCAATAAAGTGTTTCTCTTTTCATTTTCAAAAGAAAGAGCTACCTTAATGGGCTAATTCCTGCACACACACAGTACATGAAAAACTAGCATCATTAGGCTTAGCATCAATGCTCTTACCCAACATGCAACATGAACTATACCATGGAGTTTACTTATACACAATTGCTGACAAATTGCTGTTTTTGTTTGCATTACCGCTACACATAATAGATCAGTGCAATAGCATGCAACCATTGGCCTTACTGTAAATTGTATCATGTGCACAAGAACAAACAAAATGCCAACCCACTTATAAAAAACTGCAGATAGTAGGGGTGTGACGAGACACGTAGCTCCAGAGATTGAGTCATGACGAGATATTAGCACTATTTTTAAGAAATCTTCAGTGCTGAATTATATGAATATTTTGAGCATTAAACACTAATATTTCCTGCATTCTGGTGACTTTTTGAACCAATTTATGGTGTAAAAATGTGTTTATTTAAAACAAAACACAAAATTCAGGTCGGAGGTGACCAAATGAAATCTAAAATTATAACATACTATAATGCAGTAAGGCTGCATATGTTTTCTCCTGTCAATCAGCTTTTCTTATTTAATATCATTAATATCGTCAGCACATCTGCAGGCATGATATAGTCTTCTCTCCTCTTTTGAGTCTTTTGTTTGGGGAAGTAACCTCTTTAAATGTGCATGTGGCACCTTTTCACCTCAGTGATAAATTAATTCATTTTAATTCAGTTAGAAACTCCTGGACTAGCTTCTGTGTTTCAGCAGGTTTTCTGCTCATGTTCAAAACTTTATGCACATTAAAAATCTATCCCACATTACGTTGAGAAAGTCTGAATATTATGAGACTATGGTCATAATTTAATACGAACTAATATTTAAGTCCACCTGTCCTATAATCTGCTATGTATTATGGAATTGCT